AATTAAATTAAATAATAAAATGAATAAATGAATAACGGCAACAACAAACAGCAACAACAACAACAAAAAGCCCAAGTAAAAAAACCCCGAACAAACAAAAGAAAAAACAACCCCCACCCCCGGGTTCTTCACTTTGGGCTAATGGCGAGACCCGTAATGAACCGGAAATACACCACAGTGCCGTGGGGGCTCTCGTGGCCTATAGGTTACGGTGTTGGCCTCTCTTTCAAAGGTCAAGGGTTCGAATCCGAGAGGAGACCGGAACATTTTCCTCTCTAAAATTGTCTCCTTTCACCTCTTTTCCAGCTCTCTGGCAATGTTCTGTCGTCTGCTTTCGTCTCCTCTTCCTGCCCCCACCCCCTCGCCTCCATTGCCCCCTCTTCTGGGCTCCTGACTCTTTCTGCAGCCTTTCTACTGCTACTCCTTGGCTCCTTCTTACTGCTGTCTTTCAGCCACACCCCAGATCCTCTGGTAGGAAACATCTACACCTAGCCTTCTCGATAAGAGTAGGCTTTGGTCGCTATGTATTAATTATACAAGCCAACTCGTGTGGAAGCCAGTGTAGTAAGAGACACAGACAGTATCTTCCTAATCTTCTATGTTGTAAAATCACGCGTCATTGGATTCAGTTTCAAAGGTGTGGGTCTCTCATCATAGGGTACTTAACAGGTCGTGTACAGCTGGGGTTTTAAACAGGTGTCTGTAGTGCAATAGCCTCTGTGCTGCTTCGCTGAGATGATGGGAATGAGAGGTATATTTGTAAGTTCAATTCATAAGTGTGGGATTTAAACAAATTGAGCAGCTCCGTCTGCCAGTGCCAGTTTAAACATTGTCCCCCACCCAGCCCGGGTTGGCCACGATTGGTAAGCTCAGAGCAGCCCGTCTCTACTTAAATTATTCAAATTGTCTCAATAGGGACGTAAAACATCTAGTTTTGCGTCTACAACTGTATAGTCAAGAGTTTACGAAATTGTGAAGAAACCCATACTCCAAACTCCAACACGAGTCTCAGTCCTTGATTATTGTTCTGGTTGCCAGTGCAGAAGTCGGAGAGAGAGAGGACCGAGCAAGCCATGTTAAAGGGGTTTACGAATGACATAACTGTACCGGTACCTTATCATAGCATGCAGAGGACCTGAGCTTGATTCCCGCATAGAGAGAATTTTCATCGAGTATCTCGGTCTTTCTTAATGGGCGTTGTATCCCTCCCAACCTAGGTTGGCCTTGACAGGCAGGATCAAAGCCCGCCTCCGAAATGATCCAAATGGTGTCAATGTGGACGTAAAAACACTTGTATTAAAAAAACCCCCAACAAAAACCCGATCATTTTGACATGACTTTATCCACGGTTCGACTAGCACGACCGTTTTCTCCTACACTACATTCAATTTATGAACAAATAATGACCCAGTAAAAAGCTAAAGATACATTTGAACAAAGAAGCAGATATCAGGATAATTACACTGAGAGTTCAGTTACTTATAGACATGAAAGTTTCTAAGAGCATATGTAATAGTATTCGTTCACACCCACAAGGAGACACGCTTTCGGGGATTGGGGTGTTTTTTTTTT